TCTCGTCGAGCTGCGGGCACCTCATCCTGAATTCCTCGAGGATATCGTACATAGCTCGGATCTGAGCTATATCCCCAGGGGTCAAGACGCAAGGCATGGTCTCGAACCGACGACTAGATCGCAAGGGAAACTCAACTTCTACCCCAGAGGGAGCAACCTCGGCAGCCTCGAAATCCCCAACCTCCGGCTCATAGTTAGACTCACTAGAACCCAAAGAACTAGAAGCAGAAGAACAATGGGAGGATGAGGAAGACATCTTACTGAACTTAGAGTTGAGGAACAAGAGCAAAGTCCGAGCAACACCAACAACACCTCGCCAAGCAATCTAGGCAACTTCCCTTGCAAATGGCAAAGGAGATATGCCCGTCCACCCCTTCTTATAACCCCCAGGAGCGCAAATCGAAGCCAGATCAACCGCCGCCCTAATGAAGCTCGGGAAGACCAATCAACGCGATTTTTACCACATGCGCAAGGCCTCGAGAACCGAAGCGACGACCTTGACAAGCAACGTTCAGAGCATTAATTGCCCCTGTTCGCCCTTCAGCACCGGTCCAACCGACACCACGGAAGCCCAGGGTTCACCCAGGACCACCGGTCCAATTAACTCCTCGGATCTCCTCAGGACACAGACCAAAGGAGGCCACGCTATAACTCAGTCGAGCACTTCACTCTTCGAATTCGAAACTGGGGGAGTGGTGTTTGGATTCCGAAATTTTAAGAGCAAGTTCCTCAGCCGAAGGACAGACAGCTCAACACCCTTCCTTGGCACACCATGGCCAAGCATCACAATGGCCTCAACACCAAGGCTCGGCCTCCACTGACGCAGCGGAGCCTTCCTCGGCACCTGGCCGAGTTAAACCCCCGACTTTGGAGCTTAGCACACCATGGTCGAGCATCACAGTGGCCTCAAAACCAAAGCTCAGCCTCCACCGACGTTAGAAAGCTCTTCCTTGGCACACCATGGCCGAGCATCACAGTGGCCTCAACACTGAAGCTTGGCCTCCACCGGTGTTAGAAAGCCCTTCCTCGACACGCCATGTCTGAGCATTACAGTAGCCTCAACACCGAAGCTTGGCCTTCACCAGGAATCAGAAAGCCCTTCCTCGACACCCGGCCGAGCTAAGTGACCACATAGCATTTCAGCCGAGGAACAAAGAGCCCTTCCTCGGCTCCCTCAAAAAGACAAACCCCGAAACTCATCTTGACACCTTGGTGCCCTGTCGAGCTACACGACCGTGCAACGCTTTGGCCGAGCACTCCTCCTCCTCCTCGGCTCTAGAATTGGGGGAGTGGTGTTCGGATTCCGAAGTTAGAATTCTTAGAGTTCTGCCGCCGACGATTGAAGGACTCCCTGGCCACAGCCGACATTGCGTAGATCTCACATTCTAGCAAACACCAAGGAACATCAAGTGGACCCGACACTCATCCATACTTCAACTAGAACTCGATTTGGAATTCCTCAACTGAGGAACAAGGTGTCATGCCGCGCTACACCTCGACCGAACACCTCATGCCTCGACATCAGAACTGGGGGAGTGGTGTTCGGGTCATGGCTAAGCTGGTCCAGTGAGACACGTGGCCAACCAGTCATTGCCCGGTTAGTCCAGCCACATCAGCATAGCTCGGCGAGCTCCGCAACACACACTCATTCCACGGCCTTGGCCGGGCTACAACTATTACTGTGGCCCCTCATCTTATCCCCTCAGCCACGTCAGTTACTCGTGGTGCGGATAAGCATAACTACGAATAAAGATGAGTAAGGAAGACAACTCTGCCGGGGATTAGGACTCTGTCCCAAATACCTCGACGACTCACCTCATCTCGACAACCCCGGGAGATTGATCTGACCAGGGCATGGGTCCACAACTATAAGAAGGTATTCCATGCTCAAGGTAAGGGATTCCAACTTCTGACACCCATACTGCTATTCTGCTCGGACCAACATCTTTATAGCTCGGCCCGACCATCTACCACCTTCTACTGACTTGAGTGCCGGAGTGCTAACGCAGGGATAACTCCTCGGGCCTCTAACTTCTCCTTTCTTGATCATAGGTCTTGCAGCATGGCCTCGTTCTTGTAACTCGGCACCACCCTGCTAGCAAGGACTATCAGGTTGCCCTCCTCATTTCACACCACCTCGGATTAAGCAACATCAGTTAATATAATTTCAGAAATTAAAAGAAAATTAGTGCAAAAAGTTAACTATATTTTTCTTCAATTTCAAAATTATATTGTTTTGATTATTTAGAGTTAATTGTTGCTTGCATTTACGGGAGTTGTATCGAAATACTGAATCACCATACTCCATACACCACATCTGGGATTTGTGACGGATCGATGCATTGTAGGGAATTGAAACTGAGATGGTAATTAAGTAATATTGATCCCAGTACCGAATCTAGGACCGACAAATTCGTGGAGCCCACTGCCACGATGATCTGCAGCTTATTTGCCAAAATTTAAAAGGATAATCTTCATCATCCATTGGTTTGGTTGATATATAATTATATATTATATATTTTCTTTAAAAGCAATTCACGCAATGTTTCTTTGAATCGGAAATGACTAATCACGCATTAGATTGCGGGGTTGGTCTTGCATCATATCGATCGTTATTTGATAGAGAACAAGAAAAAAAAAAAGAAAAAGAAATAAAGAAAAGTCCCAACCCAGAGATATGCACTGCTTAATTAAGAAATAAGAATCTTTCTATTATTTGTGATGGGATATCCTGAAAGCTAAAATTCTACATGAAATTACAGGTATCTTGCAATTTAAGGCGGATGGAGAGTAGTGGGCAGGAACTTCAGTTTGGAATTTAACAAAAAAAAAAAAAGTAGAAGAAACATTTCCAATGTGAATGTGCGTCGGGATGTTATACTCTTTTAGAATTTTAATTTATATGGTTTAGTTCTACTTCTATCGTTAGCGTTCGTTAATATTATATCACAATCTATACATATGTGACATCACACGACACATAAAACATTTTGAAAATCCAATATTATCTTCCAGGTTAGCATAATATACCAGTTTACTAAATACATAGTCTCTAACGATTAGGGGTGTTCAAATTTGAATTAGAAACCAAATTTCGATTTTTGATGTGTTAAAAAATCAGTTTTCGGTTTTGATTGGATTTATTTACAAAAATTAACCGAACCGAACCGAACCGAAAACTGAATTACTATACTATATATAATTGTATGTATATAAGAGTTTAATACAACGGAACTGTAGAGCCAGTGAACCACTTTGGGCTTTGGGTCCAAATGAAATTAGTATCAATAATAAATAAAAACACTACTTTAAATTAATTAATAATTAATAACTAATAGTGGGACTACAGGAGTGTGATACTACATAGTAAATACTAGGATTTGCCAATTTGGAAAACTCAAAAGAGTACAATTAGACTGGAGTTGCCGATTTGATTTTTTTTCCCTTTTCCCCCTGTCTCAAAAACCGAGTTCTTTTGTTTTTTAAATTGTCAAAAAATCAAACCGATTTGGTTCGGTTGTGGGATATGACCAAGCTGAATAGTTGGTTAGTTCATGGGTTTGAACTGAACTGAACTGACCAAATGTACACCCCTACCAGCAACCCAAATTGTTTCAATGAAAACCCCAACGTCGATCCCTCCATCCCACTTGAACTGGACAGCTTAATTCAACATTTTGTATTTTATTTGTTTGGAACAGTGAATGCTTATTTACTAAATATTTTGTATTTGATTTGTTTAGAAAATTAAGAAAAACAATAATAAATCCGTTTATTAATACTTAGGTGTGAATAGGCATCACATCAACAAAATAGTGAATAAAATCTACATGTTGGAGGAAGCACTAAAATAAAGCTTCCCACATAAACCGAAACTTAATTTTACAAATTTCTATACATACAAATTCAGATAATAGGGCAAATGCTGAAATAACGCCCATATAACAGTATTTATTTAATAAACGCGCACATACAGTTCCAAACACCCTCCTGGTGTCTGCCATCCTACCAAAAAAGCCACCACCTTAAATGTCTCACCAATAGCTTTTCACGGAAGCACACCAGCTTGCCTGGACATTTCTCCAATATTGTAGAGTGTAGACGCATACAGCTTCGGAGAAAATGACGGGCGCTTGCTTGATTTTAAAAATTTGATAAATAATAAATAACAAATATGACATGATGTCAATTGTAGAGTTAATCAATTTCCTATTACTTTTAATTAATACTCTTAAGAAATTTGCCCCTTATAAAAGAGTGATGAATTTATGGGTGTGATGGAGCAATCAAAAGGCTAAAACAAGCTTAATGGTTTGCTACGTGGACACTACGCAAGGTTCAAAGCACGGCAGTCTGGCACGCACCGAAAACCAAACAGATTGCCTGATCTTTATTGAAATTTTTGAGGACAAAGATTCGATACTATCCCCAATAGATCGCCGATCTAGAAGGTTACTTTTCTGCCAAATCGTAGACTCTTACTTGCCACATCTTCCTCCACGTGGCTAGAATAGTGTTAATAATGTGAAGACATCGAATCATCAACTACTGAATATTAAAATAGCAGTAGCGCACAACAATTATTTTCTACATTCTCAAGTTTTGAAGATTTTGATTGGGCCCCAGTTGCATCACATTTCACATTTGGATTACATTTTAAATAATTCATACTTTTTTTTGTTTTAGTTTATAAAACAAAAAACAAGTGACACAACGCATCATCAAGAATGTATTGTTTTGCTGACATGGCATACAACTATTTTGTTTTAGAAAACAAAACCATTCACATCAACAAACACCCCCTTAATTATCCCGTCCAGCCGTTTAAGTTAAGAAAGAATTAATACTTAGGATATTTAGTTTAGATGGATAAATAAACACCACAAATGAGTAAACTAAAAATAATAATGGGAAGAAGAAGGATAAACGATCATCTCCATTAGTTGTTGTTCCTTTCTGCATCTGTACGTCTGTTTCTGTCTGGGCCTCATGTGATATCGATGGAAACTCGGCTGATCTACATCCTCCTCTTCATGCCATTGTTGAAACAGCTGGTAACGAAGGCAAACCCTCGAACTGATATCGTCGCAAGGATTTGTGGAAATGTGACATCAAACGATAGCAGGCTGTACGTCGATGAATTCACAAAGACTCTGAAAATAATCAAAGACGAAATTTACATGAATGGTTTTGGGACAGCGGTCGTGGGAGAAGGCCTACAGCAGATCTATGTCATGGCTCAGTGCCACGGCGACCTAACATACGACGACTGCGTCATCTGCACCAACTTCTGCCTCACCCTCCTCCCGGGTTGCTTCCCCAAGACCGCCGGACGCATTTATCTCGACGGTTGTTTCGCCAGGTTCGACAGTTACGATTTTTTCAACGAGAGCGTCTTACCCTCAGACTCCTCAGTACGTAACAATTTTCTTTAATTTCCTCCATCAAATCCTCTTATATATATTAACCACATTCGCATATACATACGATACATATATAAATATATTGATTATATTCCTGTAATTGAATGGTGAAACAGGTATGCGGAATGACGGAGTCTACTACGCCAATAGATTTTAACGCCACCATCAAGCTACTGCTCGATAGAGTGGTGAAGATAGCAGTTACCAACCATGGGTATGGAGACGGATCTGAGAGATGGGGCTCTGGATCAGTATTTGCACTTGCAAATTGCTGGAAGACGCTGAATGAGGAGTCCTGCTTGTCTTGCCTGCAAAACGCTGCAACCAACATCCTCACTTGTCTGCCGTCGACGGAAGGCCGTGCAGTTGATGCTGGCTGCTTCTTAAGATACTCCGATTATAAATTTTTGAACGACAACGAAGATCTCTTCTCAAGAAAAGGTAAGTCGTACGTCGTATATACGTAGCTAGAAGCATAGAACTAGCAACCCGGCCCCCTCCCTCCTAAGTCTTACGTGATTAATTATATACGTCCTAATTAAGTATATATATAACTATAAGCAGCTAGATCAGAAGATTTTGTTCAATAATGTTGTGTTTGATCTTTGTAGGATCTCTTTTTTCATTCACCACCTTCGTTTTTGTTTTTGCTACTGTCTGCATACTCTCTATCTTCGTGGGGATCTGCCTGGGTGATGTCATCTACAAAGGTCTACATAGGCAGAGAAGAAGGAAAGCAGGTAACAATTAATTAATCAATCTTAGCACCACACCATAAATTAATTAATTCAAGCTTCAGTAGTCTTTGTTTCTCATAATGAAAACCGATCAGATCATAGTTGACAGACAGAGAAGTCACTTTTTCAATTTCTAGATGTTTTCTTTTCGTTTGTGCTCCTCATCCCCATTTCATTAATTTGTAATAAAACTATTAAGAATTGGACGTGGTGGAGACTTCAATGTTCGCGAGGACCATGCATTTCAAGTACTCGACCTTGGAGAAGGCAACAGACTACTTCAGTCAAGCTAACAAACTTGGTAATGGAGGATATGGAGAGGTATTCAAGGTATTAACTAATTAATTCTTAATTTCATGCTAATTAATGTCAGCAAAACTTAACTTATAAATCTCAAGTCTTAACACTAGTTGTTGTCTGTGTTGTGTTTCCAATAAGCAGGGAACTCTAGGAGACGGTAGGGAAATAGCAATCAAGCGGCTGTATGTGAACTACTTCAATCGTAATCAGGAGATCCACAATGAGATTAACATCATTAGTCGGGCAACCCACAGGAACTTGGCTCGTTTCCTGGGTTTCTGCATCACCAACGAAGTTAGTCTCCTTATTTACGAATTTGTACCTAACAAAAGCCTCGATTGTTACATATTTGGTAAGCAAGAGCTCATTATAAGTAACAGAACTCAGACTAATCTTACAGATAAAAGAAAAGGTTAAATTGGTAAGCAAGAGAGAGCTATGATGGGGAAGTACGTACGGGTCACCACAACATAAAATTAGTTTTTTTTTTTTTTTTGAATAATTGACCCTACACATTTTATCTAGAGACCCTAAACTCTAATACTAAAATAGAAACCAAATTTAGCTAAAGCTCTAATTAATGTTAATCAAAATGGAAATGAAACTACTTAATTAAAAAAAGAAAAAGGTTACTTGATAATTCTGCTTTATTCTTTTATTGGGTTCCTCTTGGAATGACTGAATTATTAATGGACATTTAAATGTGTAAATAGATGCACAAATAGTAGGAGATTCCTAGATTCATGTCATGTATATATGCATCTGTGTGAAAATTTTCTGAGTTATGAATGATTTCCTCCTCCTAATTCCTATATATATATATATATATATCCATGGAAGGCAGACCCAGAAAAGAAGAAAGAATTGGACTGGAACAAAAGGCTGAATATAATCATGGGAACAGCTGAGGGCCTAGAATATCTTCACAAACGGTGTGATGTGACGATTGTTCACAGAGATGTCAAGGCAAGTAACATCTTGCTAGACTTGCGTTATAGACCCAAGATTGCAGATTTTGGTCTAGCTAGATTTTGCAGCACTACTACTGAAAAGACCACCGAGAACTCTGCTAATATTGCAGGCACATTGTAAGTATTAGTTTTCTTTTCAATTATTCTAGCAAGGGCTAGCTTGAGACATGGGCTTTCTTAACACAAGAATCCCCAATTAGTCTTAGCATCAGCTGATGAATCTCCAGATTTCATTAAATGTTTAAAACCATTTTGGAGGGTTTTAACATTTTTAGTTTTCTGTTTTTTTTTTTTTTTTTTTTTAAGGGGATACATGGCTCCTGAGTACATTACTCGTGGGCTTCTAACAGACAAAGCAGATGTGTACAGCTTTGGAATTCTGATACTGGAAATCGTCGGTGGAATTCAGAATAACAAATTCCAGCCAGATAATTCCCTCGACACCCTAGTTACCTGTGTAAATCCCATTAACAATGTTTTCAGATATTTCTGTGTTTCTGCATTAATTTACATAGATTTTAAATATATATATATATATATATATATATATATATATATATATATATATATATATATATATATATATATATGAATATGTTTCATTTCATATATGGTGAACGTGAACCCATCTCTTAAAACAGGCATGGCGGCACTTTCAGTCGAATACGGTATCAGAAATCATAGATGAGAGCCTGGAGATTGAAGACATAGAAGAAGTCACAAGGATTGTTCAAGTGGGTCTTCTGTGCACTCAAGAATCTCTGATGTTGCGCCCTGAAATGACAGAGGTAATCCAAATGATCAAACGAAAAGATTTGGAAATCCCCAGGCCTTCCAAGCCTCCTTTTATTTGTGAACCCTTAAACGCCTCAGGCCTACACTCTTCCCCATCATCTAATACGTGTACTGACTATAGATAGATAAACATCTCCATTGTTTTTCAGAAGATTTTCGCCTTTCTCTTTTTCATAATCCGCCATTAACGACTACGGTTAACTCTCTCCCCCCCACCCCCACCCCAGAACGCCAAAAGGAAATTTTGGTCATGGTTAAACCTAGGGATGACTCATGACTCTACCAAGGATTAATTTACTGATCTAGCTAATATATTGATTTGTTGGGTTAAAAGGGTCGGACTTGAAACAAGGTAGACAGACGTAAATTGGGTCGGAACTTGGAAGCATGCGTCAGTCATATACTAATCCAGATTCCATATTGCTAGCTAGCATCATCACATGGGGTTCATTGCTTCATCTATAACAATTAACGCATGCCGTATGGACTTCTGAAGTTTGAGTAAAAGATTCTTTAGGGGTCCCATTTTCTGAACTACTACGCATTTTTGTCTTTGTCTTGTCTGATAATAAGAGATTTAGAATGTAAATAATGTACACCGAACTTAAGATGAAGAAGATATGTCAATCATGGGGATCATGATCCATGTTTATGGGTCATAGTTGGGTTGCATCAATTAGAACTATAAGCTCATTACGGCGTCTCTTTTTCATGATCCATGTTTATGTGTCATAGTTGGGTTTCCTTTTAATTAACTTCATTTGAGTGGACACTATGTTTAAAACATCATTTTCCACTTCCATCTAACGGAGGAGGATCAATTATGTAAATCAGTTACCAACTATATATAGGAAACCTTTTAATTAGTAAAACACAAATATTTGGGTAGGTACCTTAAATTAGAAAAAAAAAATATAGGCTTTTATAAAGTTAAAATTATTGGTTATAAATTAAATTTGTAGAATTTAATGGTGAGAAACAAAAGTACCTTAAATATAGAATTTAATAAGTGAAATGGGAGTCAATAAATTAGTTATGGGACTTAATATGAAGGGATATGATGAAATGATAATTATTAATTAAATTTACGATTTTACTCTTACAACATCGAGGATTCAAATTAGAAAATAAGGATATTTTATTAGTTAGGCTCAGTTTGGAAAGAGTACAAATACAGATATGTACAGTACAAATACATACAAAATAATGCAAAATGTACATATTTGTATTTGTACTCCTTCCAAGGCTCAGTTTGGAAAAAATATAAATGCAAATGGGTACAGTGTTAATACATACAAAATGATACAAAATATAAGATTTTGCACTCTAAATATTTGTATTAGTACTCCTTCCAAACTGAGCCTTAGGCTGTGTTTGAAAATGATGCAAATATGTAGAGTGTAAATCGGTTCATATAAAATACAAAATTGGGTTAGTTTTGCACTGACAAATTTACTTTTTACCAAACAGACTTTTAGCTGTAATGGATGCAAACATGAGTTCTAATAAAGTATATGCTTTTTTTTTATCAAAAAACCACATGAATGCAAATTTACTTCTTTCTTATTGATGTACTTTTACATTTTTTTATCAATGTAAATATGCATTGGTCTGTCATTTGTCAATGCATAAATGTAATGTTGTCAAACACAAGCAAAAGTGAACTAGAGTGCAAATTTACCATGAACCGGGATTTACACTCCATTTGCATCGTTTTCAAACGTAGCCTTAAGAAAAATAAAAAAGCAAATGGTCCATTCCACTTTTTTTATAGATGTAAGGGTAGTTTAAAATTTTAAATTATTTTTTATTAATTTAAATTCTATTTAAAGATAATTATATTAATAAAAGTTTAAAATAATTAATAAGGAATTAAAATCAATTTTGAATTAATTCCATTCTAATAGACTAATTCCACTTCTACTTTGTTCAAGGAAAAAAAATCGTGCATCTAGACCTGTTCATGGATCGGGCTCGAGCCGAGCTTTTACTCTTCATAAACATGATTTTGTTAGGCTCGAGCCCAAGCCCGGACCAACCAATGGGCCTATAACATCGGCCCGAGCCCGGCCCTAATAAAAAGCCCGAAACTCGACCTAAAAGAAGAAAAAACTCACCGCCGGTGATTGTGTTCGCTAGTGTTGAGTTCGCGCGTGTGTGTGTGTGTGTGTGTGAGAGAGAGAGAGAGAGAGAGAGAGAGAGGATTCACCAGCCGGTCTACCGGAGTCAGTTCGCCTATGAGATGCGATTTTGACAGTGAAAAGAGGAGTCAGTTCGTGTATGAGAGAGAGAGAGAGAGAAAAAAGACTCACCGCCGGTCTACCGGAGTTGTTGCGCTGGCGAATGTTCGCTGGTTCTGCGGCTGCTTGATAGTATGAGGATGTGAAGAGAAGAGAGGTTCGGCACTGGGCAGTTCGACTAACAGGAAATGTGGAAATAGATGAATGAGAAAGATTAGGATATTAGGATTTTTGGATTTAGTCTATAAGTTAGGCCGGGCCGAGCTATTTTGGCAAATTTCAAACCCGGCTCGAATTTATTGCTGACCGGGCTTTTTGGCCCAAGATCAAACCTGCGGGCTCATTTGCGTGTTCAAGCCCGTCCATGGGCCGGGCCGGCCCATGAACAAGTCTACGTGCATCACACGTACGGAACCCAAGAATCCTTTTGAATTTTGAATTTTGATCGACGGCCCGCAACAGCAAGCCGCATGGTCCCCAACTTTGGGCACAAGTCAAAAGTATTGGCGTCCTACGGTTGAAGGGGGACCCAAGAATGTCTTTTCAAATCCCAACACATGGACCATGCATACAGGTACCTGAGGTGACATATACCGACCCACATGGACGCTTGGGTCGCTAAGCTCTTGATGAGAATTGAGAATGATATCGCATTCTTATTCTTTTGTTGCCTCTCCTCAATTGCTTTGACTTCTTTGGTTTTCGGTTCGTAGTAGTCGGCCACCTAAACTAGGCGGTGCAATTGTTTTTTTTTGCTGCTGCGACTGAGGACCTGAGTTGCCATGGCCCATGAGGGTGGCATCAGCGGAGCGACGTCCGGTCAATTCAGCTTGATGACGATGATGAGAGCCGAGCCATCCAAAATTTCCAGACTCCAGTGCGCTAGATTTGAATATACACAAAGAAACAACGGATGCTATACGTTTTACCATCCGGATTCTTTACGTTTTTCTGATAAAAATTTCAAGTAAATTAACAAATAGTGGGTTGGTAAACAAAGGAAATCAAAGTAAAGTCCACATCTTGTTTTTTCTTTATTATTTTTTTAAATCTTAATTTAATAAAAGGTAATTTACTTAAACACCTTCTATAGTTTTATGGATTTACTAAAATCTATCGTATAATTTGTATTTTACTAAAACACCCTTTATAGTTTTAAATTAATTAATTTAATCGATATTTTTATTGAAATGACAGTAGAAAATAATAGTTTTGATCCTAATGTTCATTTGAATAAATTTAATAAAAAAATAAAATTTAAAATATCATTTTTACCCCTAATAAAAAATATAAACAATTACCTTATTTGTCTCTATTTGGTCAATTTTATTTTACAAAGAAGTATTAAGGATAATTTTCAAATAAACAATCAGGGCACATGCCTTTGAATATTTTTCACTCAGTTTAGGTGATAATGTTATTATTTTCAAAAGACAAAATAAATAGGATACAAACTATAGGTGGTGTATTTAGTAAAATGAAAACCTATGAATAGGTTTCAATAAATTCAAGAAACTATAGGGAGTGTTCGTAGACTTGTAGTAAATGACCCTAAGATAAATGTCTAATTTCTATGGCTTAATGGCACGAGCTTTTGTAAATCACCTGTTTTGTTTTTTATTTTGTTTAACAATGTATTTTCATCACTTTGGCTTGGAATAAATGGGCCGGGGAAACCCAGTCAATAGTTCAGTCCGACTCTGACCAGTAAATGGAGGTCCAATTCATTGATTGAACTCTATTTTTAAGCAGTCAACATCGAATGTTGAATGATGGATAATTGTGACCTGCCTATAAGCCTATTGGCACTGCAAATCAATGACCACCAAAAGTTCTCTACAACATAAACCTAAGAAATATGGTCTCATTGGGTCGGGATTGACGACTGGATTAGGGTTGATTTTTTGTCAACCTTATTTTACTTCAGATTAGGACCTTTGAGCAATCCGATTCTATCATTATAGGTTATAGCTCCTCTACATAATATCATAATCTATTTATCTTAATACACAGCCACATATATGCCTATGGGGTGTCAACCAAAAAATTAGTGTATGAAGTTATGGATACTCATTTTATTTTATTTATCTATAGGGTATTTATTTGTCTATTTCGTTTGTCTTCAAGGGGCTATATAATGCTTTTTGCTTTTAATGATCTTGTTAGTTGTCATTAAGGCTTTGTTTGTTTGAGGTGTGAATACAAAAATACACTAATGTAAATGAAAACCGGTTAGATCTATAAATACAAAAGTTGAACTGCTTCGGTGTATTTTGACACTCCATCCAAATGGTCACAAGACTAAATCGGAGTGTAAAAATACATCAAATCGGGTTTTACACTCCATCCAAACGTAGCCTAATGATTTTCATTCCATAAATTTATGGTTGGGAAAATCTATGATAACAGAAAAAACATGATACCAGAAAAACATATGCGAGCAAATCCAATCTGAACCTGCTCACATTAACACTTGGTTGACACCTGTACTCGTATCTTCTATCAATGGATCCAATATTGGTTCAATCTATCCAACCCAATATAAGGGTAAATTACATATAGTACCATGTACTTTGGGGGTAGTGACACATAGGTATTCCGAACTTTTAATTGCAACACTTGAGTATCCTGAACTCTAAAAAATACACTTAGATCTATCTGTTAGTATTCCATCAATTAAATGTTACAAAATGTTAAAAATACCCTTTTTTATGTATTTCTGAGATCATTCTCAGGTAACCGAACATCTCCCCACAATGACATTCTCACATGGACAGAAAACAATATACTCAAATTTTCTAACAATAGCATTCTTTGGTGATCATTTTACTTGATAGAATGATCTCAAAAATACTATAGGATATACTCAAGTGTCTATTTTTTAA